CGGGGCGCGCGACCGCGGCGCGTGGAGCCCGGATCCCTCCGCCTGCGGGACGGAGCGAGGCCGCGGGGACCTCAGCGCCCCGACCCCAGAGTTGGCAGAGGTCTAAGTAGATAAGTTCTGCGGAGACTGGAGTGTTGGGAGGCCCCAGCTCCTCCACTTACTGTGTGACAAAGCTCCGAAGCCAGATCGCGGTCTCTCCTCGGGGGTTACCTGGGGAGCTCCGCTGCTCCCTCTACCTGTGACAGGTCCCCTCCTTTCCCCTGGCCGGCTCGGTTGACGCCCAGACATTTAAAGCAACAGTGCATAATTCTCGGGTGACCTAATCTTCAGTGCCTGCGGCCCCAGCGCACTTAACTACCAAGGGGCAATTTAAAGGGGCGGGACCCCAACCACCACCTCCCTTGCCTTACAGGAAACATCCAGGAGCCACCTCGTCTTAAAGAAGAAATAGTCACTCTCTTTTGAAAAAACAAACAACAACAGCAAAACCTTTTAAAATCCCTGGTGGCTTCTGGGCGTGGCGAATTTTTAAGTGCTTCACAACAAGATTGTGCGCGCCACTGCTTCTGAACACTGACCCGTCAGACTTCCTGTCCGGCATCCTGTCACTTCCAAGTCCTCGGCTGGCTCTACCTGGAGCTTGAGGAAATGAGTCTGGCTTGGACTTCAAAGCCTTGTAGAACAGAGGTTCTTCACAAACCGGGGTCTGGTTTACTGGACCAAGTCCTTGTTCTGGGTTTTGGTAGGAGAGGCAACACGTGGCGGGTTAGAAACATCAGTCTTGGGGTCAGGCTGTCTTGGTTCAAATCCGTCTACTGTTTATGAGGAGCAGAGCACATTTCTCGGGTAAAATGAAGGTGATAAGGACAGTATCTAACTTGTGAATCTGGTGTGAGTTTGGTTCCCGGTAGACTAGGACAGTACCTTATGTTACACTGTCATGACCCTCGGGCTGCTCAGCTGGAAATGAGAGCCCTTGAGGCCAGGATGGGTCCAGACAAGGCTGGCTCATGGGGGAAGTTCAATAGGACGGTTCTGCAAAGAGCTTGGAGACGTACATGTACCTCCTTAAACAGGAAGCTAGCAGGCTCCTATCTATCCCCTTGGCCTCCCTTTCCAGCCCTTCTACTTGGCCCCTCCCTCCCGAAGCCCGATTTATACAGTATCACACATGGTCCCCAAATGTTGCTCTTTAGTTTCCCTAGTAGTATGGGGGGTGGGGCGCCCAGCGCAGAGATGCCAGTACTCTGGAGCAGGCTGGTTTGCCCCCAGTACTTCAGGGAGGGCATCTGTTCTTCCCCCAAGCACTTGGAGAACGCAGCCTTGTTCGGGCTCTTGAAGCAGTGGTGGGAGCAGGATGGGAAAGTGCCCTCCCAGTGGGGAACCTCCCCTCACTGTGGCCTCTATTTTTAGTGCTTCCCCAGGCTCGAGCTGGAGAAAGCGTTTAGTCATCAGGGTGTTTATTTTCCGGCTGTTTCCGACGTCGGGAAAAGCAGAATGTTGAGACTGGAGAGATCCAGGGCTGCTGTGAAAGACTTCTTAGGAAGAGGCCTGGGAACACGGCCTTCAGACCGTTGGGTCCCAGCTCATAGGAAAACAAACCAGGATGGGCCCGGGACAGCTAAGCCCTCAGGAGTGTTCAACCTGCCTCAACCTTGGAGGCTATCCAAGCCAGAGAACCCTCTGGCCCAACTCCATCTGAAGATTGTGTCTCAAAATACCACCAAGCCCAGGAGAAATCCTTTCCCAGAATCCCCCTCCCCAACCTCTCCCAGAACTGCCTGGTGAGCCTCCCGCCAACCGCAACCCCAGCCAATCTCCAGTCTGAGGCGGGCCTTCCAGAGCTATGATTGGCTGGCTGGGCATTCTAGACCTGGAATGTTGAGTCCTTAACAAAGGAATGAGGAAGGAAGGTGAGTCACCTGGGGGAAGGTATTAAAGGACTAGCTAGGAGGGGAAGAAGAGGGCAGAGCTGCGGGGAGGTGGGGGCCCTGGACGCTGCCATGCTGACTTCACAGCTCACACAGAGTAGGGAGGCAGTAACACTCCAAGCGGGGCAAAATCCAGAGTCTGAAAACGTCTTGGAAGAGAAGAGAAAAGGTAAAGATCGTGAGGTCTTGATTTCCACAGAGGACCGAAAAGGGCCAAGGTAATGTTGGCGGCTGGATGAAAATTGGACTTCCTGAATTCTTTTTTTCTGGCCCCAGGACTTCCCATCCCAGAATCCTCTGGGTGGCAAATGACTGTGTCTCACGTTTCCTCTCCCATCTCTGACTGTGCACCTATCTCTTATTATTTTTTTGTGTTTGTTAGTGTGCCATGGTGCGTGCTTAGAGGTCAGGGGACGATTCTGTGGAGTCGATCTCTCCTTCCACCTCTCCATAGGTTGGGGGCTCAAACTCACGTTGCCAGGCCTGCTCGGCATCTCCCGGCTTCCACCCATCTATTCTAAAGAAAAGTCACCTTCCAGCCCAAAGCTGCTGTAAAATCCCCCGTGGGCCCTTGGAACACTTAGCTGCCCACCGAAGTCCTGATAAGAATGCCGTCTAAACTCAACCTGCAATGCCATCTTCACAAGGCTCCCTGGCAAACCAAACTTATCCCTCCTTTACCCGCCCCTTCTCAGGCTTCTCTAATTCACCTGCGCTTGGAAAGGTCTTTCCCGCAGGTCCCCATCCCTCTCTGCACCCTCCTCCACCTGGCAGTCCTTCCCCAGCCTAGGAGAAGTGCTCCTGCGGTCCCTTCTAGTCTGGTGAGCTGCTTGGCAGGCCCTCCTCACCTTCCTTCCCCTGCGCCATCTGGACAGTTCTCAGTCCCCACCTCCACCCGCAACTCAGCCACCCTCAGCCACCTAGCTCGTTCTTCTTCCAGTTTTTGGATGATCCCAGCAAAGACACCCCCACCCCACCTCCCCATCTCTCCCCGCATCTACCACCACGCTAGCGACCCGGACCCTCAGCAGGTGGGCGTGGGTGCTCTCAGCGCGAAGGTGGGACGCTGCCCCCGTCCCCGTCTCCTCAGGACGCACTAGCTGGCTGGGTTTGGTTCCTAAGGTACTTTTCCTCCCCAGCTCCTGAGTTCCTGCGGGGATGCAGAGCTTTGCAGAGCTGGCGTGGAACGCGCTCAGCAAATGTGTGTGCGTAGCTGTGTGAGTTAGGGTTGTGCAAACTCTTCTACTCAACACCTCGTTTCTGCATCGATAATCGTGGGCGCCTACGACTCCGCTTCAGGGCAGAGCTGAGGTGAGGGATAGGTAGCCGAGTCCGCCGGAGTCAAGTTCCGTGTGACACAGTTGTGCCCTACAGTAGTGCCGAGAGTCGGGGTGTCTGGGACCAGACGTGAGGACAAGAGCGGAGGCCCCCGGAGCCGAGAGGGAGAGGTGCCAGAGCGGGTCCCGGGTCCGTGTACCCCCACAGGAGCTCCCTGCCCCCGGCTGGGCAGGATGTGGTGGCAGCTGCAGTTGGGTGGGCAGGATGTGGGGGTGGGGGCAGGCGAACACAGCCCGACAGTAGTCTCCCCCCCAGCTCCTGCCTCCACCCCCTCCGGGTCACGTGCTCTCGGCTTGGGCACCGACGGACTATTTCCCATTTTCCGCGGAAGGACATCTCAAGCCCGCCGTCACGGACCTTAGTTGTTCCACGCCATTTTCTTGCCCCCATCTCCAGCCTAGGACAGAAAGTTTGCCCAGTACACGTTTCTGTAAAGCGCGGATTAAGTCGGAAGAGGCCCCTTTAAATGCAAATGATCGCCTTCTTGCTCCGCTCCCCCCCCCAACCCCCATCCCAACTTCTCTCCTCGTGCCCAAACTCCACCAGCTGCTATTGACGTCAATCGTGCGTCAGCATCGCCAGCCCAACCAGACAGCACGTGGGGGGAAGAAGGCAATCTTAAAGGGCCAGTCGCTCCGGGCCTGTTGGGTTACCGGAGAAAGGAAAAGCGAAGTGGAATGCTGGAAACTGTTGGAGCAGGAAGACATGCAGGGGAGACTTTGAGAAGGACTGCATAAGGCCGGCGAAGGGGCTCAGCGGATAAAGGTGCTTCTGTGCAAGCCCGCGATTCTTCATTTCCCCAGTTAGCTAACTCTGACCTTCACGTACATCATTTTCTCCCCCCCACACACCGGCACACGTACTGTACTAATAAACTTTTTAAAAAGACTTCTCAGCATAGGGGAGTATATTCTTTTGTTCTTTTTTATTTTACTCTATTGTGCGTGTGGTGTGAACGAGTGTGGAGATCAGACGACAGTCATCTGCCGTACTTGGTTCTCTCCTCTCACCTTTGGGTTCCCGAGTCTGAAATCATTAAGTTGGGCGATTTGGGGCGGTCAGCGCTCTTCACAGCGGAGCCCGATGCCCCCCTTTTAACCCTCTCCTCCCTCGTCCTCCCCTTTAGGGCTTGAACCTGACACACAGCCAGCCCACATTCTACCACTGAGCTCCGTGCCCCAGCTCAAGAGGGCGAATGCTAAACCAAGCTTTTCCTTTGGATCCCTGAGACGTTTGGGTTTGTTTACCTGGGAAAGAAACCCAGGAACTGGAGACGCAGGCTGAGTCTAAAGGCAAAGGAGCCTTGCCTTTAAGAATCATGAGTTGCCAGGCAGATCTAAGTGTTCAAGGCCAGCCTGGTCTATAGAGCAAGTTCCAAGACAGCCGAGTCTACAGAGAGAAACGCTGTCTTGAAAAACTAATCAAACAAACAAACCCAAGAACCATGAGTTTTAGCTGTGTGGAAGCACTGCCAGGGCCGGCGGATCTCTCTGAGTTCCAACTTGGTCTGCAGAGTGAGTTCCAGGACAGACATAGTGTGAGCATTCAATAGGGCAATTTCAGCGGAAGCTTTTGGCTTGTTGGTTTGACAACATCTCACTGTGGAGCCCTGACTGGCCTGGGACTCACTGAAATCCCGCTGCCCCTGCCTCCAGAGTGTGGGGTTTAGAGTGTGTGCCACCATGCCTAGCTAAGCTCCTTTTTTGTTGTTCATTACCTCTACGTCAGTTTCTCTGTTCGTGAGCAGTACACACACAGCAAGCATGCATGCAGAGGTAAGAGGACACGACCTGTGGACCTGTGGGGGTTCAGATTCGTCAGCCTTGATGGTAAGCACCTTTTACCCAGAAAAGCCGTCTCACACAACCCTTTAAAAATCGTTCATTAGCCGGGCGGTGGTGGCGCACGCCTTTAATCCCAGCACTCGGGAGGCAGAGGCAGGCGGATCTCTGTAAGTTCGAGGCCAGACTGGTCTACAGAGAGAGTTCCAGGAAAGCCAGGGCTATTTCACAGAGAAACCCTGTCTCAAAAAAAACACAAAAATTAATTAATTAATTAATTAATAAAAATTAAAAAAATATTGTGAGTGTGTGCGCACATAGGCTACAGTGCCGGTGTGACAATCAGGGCAGGTCACCAAGCTTCTCAAGAGCTCTGGGAAGGACTTGGATGGCACTTGGCTTGGGGCAGACACCCAGGAGGAGAGCAGCGCATGCGTGGGGTTGTCAATCTTTTTCAGCACAGAGTCTCATTGGGCAGCAGTACCCAGACTGAAAGCCTGGCTTCTGCAATGACCTTCTCTCTCCCCTCCTAAACTGCGAGCTTCTCGAGAATAAGGCAATAAAATTTATTTCCAGCACCAAATGCAAGACGGAGCCTATGGCTGGTGCTTTAAGGAATGTTTGTTGAGAGTGAGCAAGGTGGCTCAGTGGGTAGGGGCTTGCTGTCAACCCTGTAATCTGAGTTCCATCCCCAAACCCCACATGGAAGGAAAGAACTGATCCCTGAAAGTGGTCCTCTGACCTTCACAAGAGTGCTTGCGCACGCATGCCCGCACACACGCTCACACACACCCCTGTAATAAATTATTGTTTGCTGGGGCTGGAGGAATGGTTCAGTAGTTGAAGTAGATGGCTCAGTGCTTCTGAAGAAGACTCAAGTCCAGCTTCCACACCCATGTGACAACAGCCTGTACCTCCAGCGCCAGGGGACCGAATGCCAGCTCTTCAGGTACCCATATGCGCCCCCACACACATATATCAAAATAAAAGTAAATCATGGTGCTGGAGAGGTGTTAAAAAACACTTGTGCTGGGCGGTGGTGGTGCACTCGGGAGGCAGAGGCAGGCGGATCTCTGTGAGTCCGAGGCCAGCCTGGTCTACAGAGTGAGTTCCAGGACAGCCAGGGCTGTTACACAGAGAAACCCTGTCTAAAAAAAAGAAAGGGAGGAAGGAAGGAAGGAAGGAGAGGAAAGGAAGGAAGGGAGGAAGGAAGGAAGGAGAGGAAAGGAAGGAAGGAACAAAGGAAGGAAGGAAGGAAGAAAACATTTACTGTTCTTGCAGAGGACCTGCGTTCATTTCCCAGCACCCACATCAGGTGACTCACATGTTACCCACACACAGACATATAACTAAAATTCATTCTAAAAAACATCAGGCTAGGTATGGTGGTATATGCCTTTAACCCGAGTACTTGGGAGGCAGAGGCAGGTATATCTTTGTGAGTTCAAGGCCAGCCTGGGCTACATGGTGAGAAGTTGTCTCCAAATGAGGAAGGGCTGGGTAGACGGCTCAGCTCTTCCAGAGGACCAGAGGGTCTAGGGTCCTCCCTGGAGGCTCACAACTGTCTGTAATTCCAGTTCCAGTAGATCTGACGTCTTCTGTCCTCCTTTGGCACCAGGCATGCAGACAGTACATAGGCATGCCTTAGGCAAAATAATAAAATTATAAAAATAAAACAACACGATACATTTTGATTAAAAGTTTGTTGCATGAAGGCTGAGGATGTAGCTTAGTGATATAACTGATGAGAGGCCCTTGTCTTTCCTCCCCAGCACACACAAAAATTCATTAAAAATAAACTTTATTTTTCTTTCTGTTTTTTTGAGGCAAGGTCTCACTCTGTAGATCAGGCTAGCATTGAACTCACAGAGGGAGGCAATGTTTCCTGCCTCTGCCTCCTAAGTGCTGGGATTAAAGGAGTGCACCACCATACCTACCTAAAGATTTCTTGTTAGCTTAGTTTTAGAGTGTTTGGCTAGATGCCCAAAGCCCGGGTTCAATGTCTCATAAACCAAGTGTGGTAGTGCTCACCTGTAATAAATACTAGCACCGGAAGGATCAAGCATTCAGTCATTGTGGGGGTTTAAATAAGAATGGCCCTTTAGGCTCATATGTTTGAATGACCGGTCCCCAGTTAGTGGAACTATGTGGGAAGAATTAGGAGGTGTGGCCTTGTTGAAGTAGATGTTGCCTTGTGGGAGGAGGCGTGGCACTGAGCTTTCAAAAGTCCACCCCGGGCCCAGACCCAGTCGCTCTCTCTCTCTCTTTCTGCCTCCATCCTGTGGATCTGGAGGTAAGCTCTGATCTGCTCCTGCACTGTGCCCGCCTGCTGCCACGCTCCCTGCCATGATAACAGTGGACTCACCATCTGAAACTGTACGCAAGCCCCCAAATAAATGCTTTCTTCTAGAAGTTGCCTTGGTCATGGTGTTTCGTCACAGCACCAAAGTGACACCACATCACAGTGACGAGGAGGACAGTCATCCTTGGACTGCATAAAGAGTGCGCTCCAAGCCAGTCTATGCTACAGGAGACACCATCTAAAGCGAAACAATACACACCTTGTTAAATGAATAAAAAGAAAAAGTTAATGACTTCAGAGTCTCCCAGGTCTGGACTACATTCCCACGCTGAAATTATCCCGAGGGAGAGAGTAGTATGATCCTGGCAGGTTTTAACTCTCAAGAGCTAAAGTTCAGCTCTGTAGCTAAAAGGTGCCTCAGCTAGCCATGAGAAACATGGGAGGCTGTACCTGCTTCCTGCCAGGAGACTCACAGCCTTCATTCTCATTCTGTAGCCCAGGATAGCCCGAATCTGCCATCTGACTTCAGCAGAGAGGGTAATTACAGATATACAATGCAATGTCTCAGGCAGAATCGTCTTGGCCGGATACTAACTCAGCTTGGGTGTTCTCCCCCTGCTCTCCCCCTCCCCTGTTCTCTCCCACCCCTGCTCTCCCCCACCCCTACCCCCAGCTGCCATTCTTTCCCCCATCTCTGCCTCTGCTCCCCCCCCCCTTCGCTCCCTGTGGTGAGGGAACAGAGCCTCCTGCCACCTGGTTCCAGGTTCTTGTGGTTAGAGACCACCTCCTAGTCCTTGTCCAGCCTGTCTCACTGAGCTCCTTGTCAGTTTCTGTCACCCTCTCCAAGACTGAAGGCCTGACAGACACCAGAGGGCACTTCCTGCCTGGGAATAACTGAGACCGGGAGGCAGTGGTACCAACCCATCTTTGAAAAAGAGGCCCAAGGAGAGCTGAGACTCTCCTCTGGCTCAGAGCAGCCCTAACGACCCATGGAGCCCCAAAGAGTGAGGTGGGTTTCCCCACAGGAATCTCCCAGCAGCCTTGGCGCTGACTCCGCCCTCTGTAGAGGTTGGGTGGCACCAGGAGCAGTGTGATCCAGAAAACCCCAAAATAACCCATCTCCACTGTCCAGCTGCTATTTCTGTCCACTCTGTTTAATTATTCAAGCCTAAGTTGGGGAGTGAGCTAAATTAAGCCCTTCTACTTGGGGACCCAGGAGAGCTGGGAAACTCGCCAGGTTGCAACAGCATCAGGCAGTGGGGTTTGGTGAGATCCCTTGGCCCGGGACTAAAAGTACCTGCTGTCTACTATCTGCTGGCCTCCTCAGCTAGAAGAAGGCAGCCTGCAGGCAACCCACTACAGTTCACCCCTCCAGCCTGCTGGGAGCGAACTGCCCCACCCCACTGAACGTCCCTTCAGCCCGCCAGTGTCTTGTCTCAGCTGGCTCTGGACTAACCTCTCGGTCCAGCTTTTTTATTTGGTAGGGGGGAAGGTAAGCAGTGGTTTTTCAAGACAAGGTTTCTCTGTGTAGCCCTGGCTGTCTTGGAACTTGCTCTGTAGACCAGGGTGGCCTCAAACTCCAGATCCTCCTGCCTCTGCCTCCTGAGTGCTGGGACTAGGCACGTGTGCCACCACCACCCGGCTCTGTCCAGCTCCTTAACTCACAAAAAATATTGTCAAGTCCAGTATCAGTGACCCAGGAAGGCTGGATGGCAGAGGACAGCCAGGTGAATCTAGACAAGCACCATGCCTATGGAGGGTACTTGCTATTGGTTGGTGGAAGGTCTGGGTGGAGAGATCTTGGCCGGCACAGACACTGAACCCCCCAGGACTGCCCACATAAAGGAATGAGTGAGGGTGCAAGCCTTTCTAGTCAGGGCCCAGCCCTGGTCTGCTTGGCCCTAAGGCCAGTGTGGTTTCTCTGGGAGCCCACTGCCGGCTGAGAAAACAATGCTCCTGAGTCTTCCTCCTGGGATTCTCCCACCATGGCCCAGGAGCTGTAGTCCTCATGTTGAGACATCACCGACTGGCTACCGTGGCTGGTCCTTGGTGGGAAGTGGCGTGAGGGCTAGCTACTACATGCTTGGCAGGTGGGGCCTTGGAAATGTGGGTGTGTTGACAAGAGCCAGCCAAAATGACAGAGTGCAGCCTGAGCTAGTGAAGAAGAGTCCCCAGGTACAGACCCAGAAATGCAGGCCAAGATGTGAAAGTACCAGAGATATGGGCTGGAGAGATGGCTCAGAGGTCAAGAGCACTGACTGCTCTTCCAGAGGTCATGAGTTCAGTTCCCAGCAACCACATGGTGGCTCACAACCATCTGTAATGAGACCTGGCGCCCTCTTCTGGCCTGCAGTCACATATGCTGTATACATAATAAATAAATAAATCTTTTTTTTTTTTTTTTTTTTTTTTTTTTTTTTTTTAAAAAAGTACCAGAGGTGACATGCCCACACAGGCTAAGCGCCAGAGGTGGTATGGGGCCTGGATGTGAAGCAGCCCCGTTCACACCGAGGCCTTTTTGGATCATGTTTCCACATACCGACTACTAGTAGCTCATCAGGTCCTGCGGGGTCCAGCAAGGCTCTCTCCTGCATCACCACCAGAGTTTCCAGGGCACTGCTGTAGGATGGGGAGGATGCATGGTTACCAAGCAACAGAAGGCATATAGGAGGGGTCCTGGCACTGCTGGTGAGCAAGGAGACTGCAAAGAGCTGGGTGAGCCAAGTTTATAGCGCTCTCCTGCCTCCCCATAGCTACAGAGCGAGGATGACCACAGCTCATCGAGCATTGAGAAAGAAGTGTGCCAGCCCTCTCTAGCTTGGTGACGGTGGGTGGTGCCTTAGACACTCACAGGACTGAGAGCCTAGGGCTGTGTGAGGAAGGCTAGGACAGGAACTACAAGGTTAAGCACAGACCTGGGCTTCAGTGTCGCCCAGGATGGAGTGCTTGCTTGTTGAAAAGGCGGGGAGGGGTTCTGTTTAAAGGGCCAAAGGGTGACTCCTGCAGAAAAGGGGGTAGAAGCGGGTGGGGGCTGGAAGCAGCTGGACGTGTCCCCTGAGTGGTACAGCATACACTGCGTCTCTAGTACTCTTCAGATCTGGCTTCCCTACCACACCACTACCTTCTCTAGTTTACTTATTATTTTACTAGCTTACTTACTTAGGGTCTCTTATGGTGAAGACTGGTACCCAAACTCAATATGTAGCTAAGGATGACCTTGAACTTCTGATTCTCCTACTTTCCAAGAGTGCTGGAATTCCAGCACTATGCCCAGCCCTCCTCTCAGTTGTGAGTCTCTGTGTAGGGGGTGGGGTGGGGTGGGGTCTTATTTTGAGATAGGATCTCAAATCTGTAGCTCAGACTTGCCTTGAACTCCTAGTTATCCTTCTGCCTCAGGCTTTCGAGTACTGGGATTACAGATGTACGTGACTGTGGCCAGCTTTGTTGCTGTTCTAAGGGACGGGGTCTTACCCTGTCACCGGGCCTGGGATCCGAGGCTATGCCACTGTGCCACCTCGTATTTTCAGGCTGGCCGCACTGTGGCACAGATGGGCAGGGCCCATCAGCTGGAGGGCCCATGGAACCAACCCAAGACAGAGTGCTCTTCCTCGCCCGGCCTTCACTCAAGTGAAGGCTGTGTCTTCAGCAAGATTTATGCCACAAAGCCTCTCCATGCTGAAACAGGGCCAGTGCCATTCTCTTGCTGTCTTTTACTGACTCAGTTTCTCTCCTGATGAGAATGTCTCTCTTCAACAGGCCTTTACTAAGCAGCTAGAATCCACTGGTCAAAGTATGGGAGAACCCTGAGGGGTAGTGGGTACGCATACCCAGTGGTTTATTGTGACAATGAGTTCCCCCATGGGGCACCTGCTAGCTACCAGTCTTCTGCCATTCATCCTGGTATGGCCCCCGCCTCCTGTGGTCCTGTCCTCTAAGAGGAGATGGAAGCTGAGGTCATGGTCTCACACGTTCCAGACCTAAGCCAGGGCTAATTGCTGAGGGGACATGAGGCAGTGACAGAGCCTCTTATGTAGAGAAAGAGTTGGGGACAAAATGGGTCTAAGTGTTTTTTCCTTTCCATTCCTGCTCTGTACCAGCCACCCTGCTTTATACCACCTCGTTGTTCACCAAGGCTTGGAGGCTTCTCGGACAAGGAAACTGGAAGGTCACAGAGGCCAGTGAGTAAATTCACGTCCACCCAGCAGCAAGGGGCTGTGGGGCCAGACGGCCCCTGGTGCCTAGAATCCCAGCTTTCCCAGGGCTGGAGCAGGAGGATGGTTGAGAAGCCAAAGCTAGTGAGGCCCTGTCTCAAAAAAAACAAAACAAGACTCAGAAAGTAGCTGTGGGATTGCAGTTCAGTACTGCATGGGCCCAGACAAGAGTAAAGGGTAGGGATCAGGGGAAAACCAGCTTGGGTCGTACCATTGCCGGGGAAGACAGCCAGCACCCCACGACCACAGTGGCAAGCTGCTGGTGGAGAAGTACTGAAGTGTAACGAGTCTTTCACCAGCTCCCAAATAATGACATGGAGACTTCTTATGAATTATGAAAGCTCAGCCTATAGCTTAGGCTTATTTCTAACTAGTTCTTACAACTTAAATTAACCCATTTCTATTCATCTACACTCTGCCATATGGCTCGTGGCTGTTACCTCTCCTCTTGTATATCCTGTTTACTCTACTTCTCCATCTTTCTCTTCCCAGAGTCCTCTCTGTCTCCAAAATTCTCACCTATACCTCCTGTCTAGGTATTGGCCATTCTGCTTTTTCTTGCACCAGCAATACATCCTCACACAGTACACAAACACCCCACAAACACTGAAGCACACTTAGAACAAGACCTTACAAGCACCATGGTGAAGGTGTCACCAAAATAATGATGATGATGATGATGATGATGATAGAGGCAGAAAGCTTGCTGCTCTTCCAGAGGACTGGAGTAGTTCAGTTCCCAGTAGCCAGGTCATATGTAGTGGTTTGAATGAGAATGGTCCCTATAGGATCATACATTTGACTGCTTGTCCCCCCGTTGGTGGAACTGTTTGGGAAGGATTAGGAGATGGAGGTGTGCCCTTGTTGGAGGAGGTGTGTCACTGGGGGTGGACTTTGAGGTTCGGAAGCCTACATCATTCCCAGTTAGCGCTCTCTGCCTGGATCAAGATGTAAGCTCTCAGCTACTGCCACAGCACCACGCCTGCCTGCATGCTGCCATGATGGTCATGGACTCACCCTCTGAAACTGTAAGCCCAATAAACTCTTTCTCCTGTAAGTTTCCTTGGTCGTGGTGTCTTCACAGCAATAGAAAAGTAAGACATTGGGGTTGGAGAGATGGCTCAGAGGTTAAGAGCGCTGGCTGCTCTTTCAGAGGTCCTGAGTTCAATTCCCAGCAGCCATGAGGTGGCTCACAACCATCTGTAATGAGACCTGGCTCCCTCTTCTGATGTGTATGCATCTATGCAGGCTGTATACATAATAAATAAATCTTTAAAAAAAAAAAAAGAAAAGTAAGACATCAGGTGACTCAAAATCACCTAGGACTCCGGCTCCAAGGGATCCCATGCCTTCTTCCATCTCTGAGGACACATACACATGCACACACACAAATAATAAACATATTTAATTTAAAAGTAATATTTTATATCTATATGTGTATGCCTTCATGAATGCCATGCATGCAGGAGTCCACAGAGGTTAGGAGAGGCATCTGATCTCCCACCCCTGGAGTTACAGGCAGTTGTTAGTCACCATGTAGGTGGTGAGAACCAAACCCAAGTCCTCTGCAGGAGCAGCAAGAGCTCTTAACTGCTGAGACATCTCTTTGGCCTCTAAATAATAAATCTTAAAAGAAGAAATGAAGCCAGGTGGTGGTGTCACACATCTTTAATCCCAGTACTCGGAAGGCAGAGCCAGGTGGATCTCTGTGAGTTCAAGGCCAGCCTGGTCTAGTCTACAGAGAGAGTTCCAGGACAGCCAGGTCTACACAGAGAAACCCTGTCTCAAAAAAACAAAACAAAAGCTGGGCAGTGGTGATGCACGCCTTTAATCCCAGCACTCAGAAGGCAGAGCCAGGTGGATCTCTGTGAGTTCAAGGCCAGCCTGGTCTACAGAGTGAGTTCCAGGAAAGGTGCAAAGCTACACAGAGAAACCCTGTCTCGAAAAACCAAACAAACAAACAAAAAAGAAAGGAAGGAAGGAAGAATGCACACACACACACACACACACACACACACACACACACACACACACACACCACAGATCCAGTCTGGGCACATAGGGATCTCAGATTTAGAAAAGGCTAGGTGAGAAGGCTGGGTCAGCGCCCTCTGGAATCCAATCCCTGCTGCATCATTTTTAGCTGTGTGACATGGGTGAATCATTGACCCTCTCTGAGCCACGACTTCGTTAGTGCTTTGATCATGTGAGGGTTACTCACAAAGGGCTGCAAAAATAACAATTGTAAACAAAGCAGAATGCCCACCCTTGTCTGGAAACGATGGATGGGGCTTCTGCTTGTAGCCCCTGCAGAAGACATTTCACTAGAGTCAAATTCAAGAGGGGGGCTGCAAATGTGTTAGTGGAGTGCCAGGACTGTAGCAAAACACCCTCCTCAGTGGTAGGCAAGGGGCAGAGTCGGGGTCATGTTTGGAGCAAAGGTACCCAGGGTGGCCAGACGCTGACCTCATGCTGGTGCGGGTGGACACTGGTGAGCGAGGGTGAGACCAAACCTCCTGCTCCTCTAAGGCAGATGCTGAGAAAAGTCAGAGAAACCCAAAGTTCTCGAAGGAAGAGGATGGAATCTACAGCCCCATTAGCTCCACAACTTCCTGGTCCCACCCTGTGCGGTTCACCACCTGCAGTGAGGGACCCATACAGACAGCCATGTTGGCAAGCTCTTCTCTCTCCTCCTCTCCTCTGCCTTCCCCTTCCCTTTCTCTACCCTCCTTCCCTCTACCTTCTTCCTCTGCCTCTCCTATCCCCCCCTCTCCCTTTTCCCTTTCTATCTCTCCCCCCACTTAATTGAGATTTCCTTTCCTTTGTGTGTGTGGCACTGGGAATAGAACCCAGAGTCTTGTGTATGCTAAGCAAATGCTTGACCACTGAGCTATAGATGTCCAGCAGGTTTTTATTGTTTGTCTGTTTGTTTTTCGAGATAGGGTTTCTCTGTGTAATTCTAGCTGTCCTGAAACTCACTCTGTAGACCACACTGGCCTTGAACTCAGATTCGTTTGTGTCTGCCTCCCAAGTGCTGGATTAAAGGCACTGTGCCTAGCACAGTGTTATGTTAATTCATTTTCTCTTTAAAAAATGTATGCAGTGCTGGGCACAGTGGCATATGCTTTTTACCCCAGAACCCAGGAGGCAGAGGCAGGTGGGTCTCTGAGTTTGAGGCCAGCTTGTTCTGCACAGTAAGTTCCAGGACAGCCAGAGCTATAGAGAGAGACCCTGTCTCAAAAATTTTTTAAATTATTTTTATGTGTATGGGTGTTTTGTCCACATGTATGTCTGTGTACCACATGAGGGCCTGGTGTCCAGGAGTCCTGAAGATGGCCTCAGATCCCCTGAGGCTAGAGCTACAGAGAGTTGTGGGCTGTCATGTGGGTGCTGGGAGTCAACCCTGGGTTCTCTGGAAGATCAACCGGTTCTCTTAACAGCTGAGCCATCTCTCCAGACCCTTGTTTTGTGACAATCGGGCTGGCCTGGAGCTTCTGACTTCTTGTCCCAACAGCTTTTCTCAGTAGCCAGAGTTATAGGACTCAATCACTAGTCCTGCCTTCAATTTTACTTTAATATTTAAAATTTTTTGTTTGTTTGTTTGTTTTTCGAGACAGGGTTTCTCTGTGTAGCTTTGGAGCCTGTCCTGGATCTCACTTTGTAGACCAGGCTGGACTCGAACTCACAGAGATTCACCTGGCTCTGCGCCCCCCCCCCCAGTGCTGGGATTAAAGGCGTGCATCACAACCGCCTGGCCAAAATTTTTTATTTTATGTGCATGGGTGTTTTTCCTGCATGTCTGTATGTATGTACAACATGTGCATGCAGTGCCCTCAGGGGCCAGAAGTGGATCTTCTGGTTGTGAGCTGCCCCGTGGGTCCTCTGCAAGAGCAGTCAGAGTTCTTAACTTTTAGCATTTTTGCTGTTGTTTGTTTTTCAAAGTGTAGCCCTGGCTGCCCTGGAACTCACTCTGTAGCCCAGGCTGGCCTCGAACTCACAGAAGCTCACCAGCCTCTGCCTCCCAGGTCCTGGGATTAGAGACTTATGCCACTGTGGCCAGCACTAAACACATTTTTAAAGAGAAGATTTGATTTAGAACGCTCTATCATTCTTAACGTTCTCTAGCTCCGCGCTGTTGCTTTTGATGACGGCGTCAGCCTGTTTTCTGTTGCTAATAACACAATATCAATGGGACACAATGACTCACTCCTGTAAGCCCAGCACTTGGGAGGAGGCCAAGGCAAGCGGCACAGTGAGTTTCAGGCCAGCTTGATCTTCATAGTGAGAACTTGTCAAAAATACAAACAAAATGATGACACAATACCACAAGATTATAACTCGTAAACAGTAACAGGCCTGTTGGTTTTCAGCTCACAGTTTTGGACATCTTGTCCACATTTCATGGTGGTCTTCTTGCTAGGGATGTCCCAGCGTAACCCGGGGCATCAGATGGCAATAATAGGAACTTGGCATTTGTGTTTCCTGGAAAGTCACTCATGGGGCTCCACTCAAGAGTCCCTTTCTAACCCCAGGCACTTCCCAAAGGCTCCCCCCAAAAAACACAGTCATTGTAGATTTTGCCCTCTTCTCTGTTTCTTTGGGGGCCTTGGATTGAACCTGGAGTCTCCCATTCTTCCTATCACTGAGCTATGTATGCTTCCAGTCCAGTGTCCACCCTTTTAACACCACACAGCAGGGATTAAATTGGGGCACAGAAACCCTAGCAGGATGCAGGCCAGATCTAAACCATAGCGATGACTGGCCTTGGGGGGACACAGCATTACCAGGGGGTGCTAGGCCGTCTAGCTTCTCGAGTGGAGGCCAGAGCCACTGCCTCAAGCAGAAGGTATGAGTAGGTAAAAGAGAAAATACAGCCATTTGGGAACTACAGTTAGCCATGATCTGAGCATGCACATGAAGGCAAGCGTGTGGAAGGAAGACCTTGAAAGGTTTGTCCCAGGCTGCCCACAGTGTCACCTGTAAGGAGGATGGGGGCGGGGAGATTGAACTTTACTTTTGCATGAATTGCTGGAGTTCTCTGTGCTGAGACAGCATGTGTACTAGCTCATTTGTTTGAAGTGAAACAAAAGAAGAAAAGAGAAAGTACCTTTGGGTTGGAGGGGCTGGGGACAGCTGCTCAATTGGAGACGGCGTCCTTAGCAGGAAGACCTGTGTGCAGGCCTCGGAACACGGAAATAAAAGAATAAAGGGTTTCCTATTTCTAGGGCCAGAATTTCTGGGAAATGCTGCATAATGCATCTGAATTTAAGAAGAGCATTCACATAGGTTTGATTGTGATATCTTTGTTTTGTATTTTTTGAGAAAGGGTCTTCCTGGGTAGCTGGGGAGAAGGCTCAGTGGGTAGCCTAGCCACTGAGTTGCATCCCCGGAATCCACGTCATGGGAGAGAAGAATTGAAAGTTGTCCTTTAACCTTCAAGTGATCACCATAGCATGCACGTACCCCCCTACAAAAATAAATAAATATAGAAAAAAGGATTTTGTGGGGCGGGGGACAGAGCCCCAATGTGTAGTCCTGGCTCTTTTACCATGTAGACTGGGCTGGCCTCAAATTCTCAGAGATCCGTCTGCCTCTGCCTCCTGAGTGCTGGGATTAAAGGTGTGTGCCACCACTGTTTGGTGCTAATTTTTATGTATTTTTTACATACGGAATGTTTCATGAATTTGCGTATCATCCTTGCACAGGGGTCATGCTAATCTTCTCTGTATCGTTCCAATTTTAGTATATGTGCTGTCAAAGTGAGCACTTTATTTTTTTAATTAAAAGAAAAAAATTTTTGAGGCAGATATCTCTGTGTAGCCCGAACTGACCTGGAATTCTCTCTGAAGACCAGGCTGACCTCAAACTCAAAGATTTGCCTTTCTCTTTCTCCTGAGTGCTGGAATTAAAGGCGTGTACACCAGCCTGTTGTCAAGCTTTGTCTGCATTTCAGGCCCCTGCTGCTTTTAATGGCCAGCCACCCGCTGTGTGGACAACCCACCTTGAGTTTATCCATTTACCAGTTGGTGGTTATTACAAATAATGCTGACATGAATACTTATGGAAGACTTTTGAAACATACCTGAAAATACATGTTTTCAATATTCTTTTTTTTTTTTTTGGTTTTTTGAGACAGGGTTTCTCTGCGTAGCTTTGCGCCTTTCCTGGAGCTCACTTGGTAGCCCAGGCTGGCCTCGAACCCACAGAGATCCGCCTGGCTCTGCCTCCCGAGTGCTGGGATTAAAGGCGTGCGCCACCACCGCCCGGCTTCAATATTCTTTTTTTTAAGGTTTATTTGTTTTTTCGTGTCAGAGTGTTTTGCCTGCATGTATTTATGTGCCTGGTATCTGTGTAGGCCAGAAGAGGGCACCAGATCTGGAACTGGAGCTACAGATGGTTGTGAGCCACCACGTGGGTGCTGGAAGGGAACTGGACCCAGCTCCTCCAGATGAGCAGCCAGTGTCTCTAGCTTGTTTTCAACATATACTTTGTTTCAGTTTTTGGAGACAGGGTTTCTCTGTGTAGCCCTGGCTGTTCTTAGACGAGGCTGACCCCAAACTCAGAGATCTGCCTGCCCCGGTCTCCTGAATACTGGCATTAAAAACGTGCGCTACTATGCCTGGCCTTGAGTTTTCTCGAGTGGATTTGCTGGGCTACTCTACTATGTTTTGAGGGGTTGCCAACATGATTCCCAGGAGCAACGCACACATCGTAGCTCCTCTACACCCTCACTACCCTCTGTTAGCCCTCCCAGCAGGGACAGGTGTCCTTCATAAGTTTGAGGTAACAGGACACTGTGGCAGGGAGTGTCGAGTGCTGGTCACATGGTATTTGCAGTCTGGATGCACAGAGACAAATGCTGTTCATCTGTTCCTTCATGATGGTTTTGAGCTGCTCGTACTTGGCGATTCCCGAAGACCATCTCAGAAGACACCTCCTTCCTTGCGCGGTGCTCTTTGGGAGTGTCTTCGTTTTGTTGGCTGCTCCCCTTTTGGACACACCTCACTGGTCTGGAATTCACTGTTGCAGCCTTGCTGAGCTCCCTCTAGGGGCAAAATCCTCCTGCCTCTCGAGGGCTGGGGTTCAAGTGCGCCTCACTACAGGTCTTGAAAATGTCCTTCAGAGCACCATTTCTTAGGCTGGTAAAGCCAGCCTGCCTACTCTGCTTTGCTCTTTATTTCCTAAAAAAATGTCATGCCAAAGTAAGGAAAAATTAAGTTTGTGTGTGTTTGTGCAGGTGTGCGCACATCAGGGTCTCGTGTATATCAGGGTAGCTTTGCACTTGGTATGTAGTTCACACAAACTTCTGATTCTCCCGCCTTCAGAGTGCTGGGACTGCAGGTGTCTACCACCACCTGGTTTCATGCAACGCAGGGAATCAAACCCAGAGCTTTGTGCTTCCTAGGCAGGCTCCCTACTGAGTCCTTGCCCAGTCTGTTTTCTTCTAGAGTTCTATAGTTTCTTTTCTTTTTATTTTGATTTCATGAACCTTTGAGTGAATTTCCCCACCCCAACACTGGGACGACTAAGGCAGGAAGACCACAAGTTCAAGGCCAGCTTGTACTAGGTAGTGAGACTGTCTCCAAAACCAGCTTGTGCCTATGGCGTAAGACAGGCGCCTGGGCTTCAATGCCATTCTTAGAAAAGTGTGAATTTCCAGTTTTTCTCAGGACCATCTACTGAAGTCACCCCCCCCCCCTTTCCCCATCAGTGCTGAGGATTCAGCCTAAGACCCTGGGTGTAGTAGACAATCACCCTCTGAGTTTTGTCCTTAGCCCCCCGGGGCTTGAACGTGGTGTGTAGCCAGGGCTGGTTTTGAATATACTGCCTCTCCTGTCCCGTGCTGAAATGCCTGGATTAGAATACTTTTTCTGCTTGCTAGCACTTTGTATTTAAATTTCTGATACTCCCACCCAGGGGCTCAGCCCCTGTATCTCAAACTGGGCCTTGGAAGTTGGCAAGGACACTGATTAACTTGAGCTTATTAGGGATTGTTACCAGGCGAAGGAGTGTGGGGTGACATGTCTCAGGGTCGGGTGCAAGGGACGGCACCAATGGAGTCCTGTGATGACCTTTACAGCTTAGCTACTGTGACATTTCTCCATGTGGTATGTGTGGCCGAGCTCGTGACTCTGTGTGTGTGTGTGTGTGTGTGTGTGTGTGTGTGTGTGCAGGAGCGCACTGGTCCTGCAGCGGGACAATGTCAGAGCTACTTGGTGAGTGTGAGATTTTTAATGACTGTGCATGCGTAGAAACTAGGATCCTGGAATATGTCACTGTCACCCAGAGCAAGGCAGCACTTGAAGTTTTTACTGTGACATGTTAAGGGGGAAGAGGCTTTGAGCGAGATTGAATGTGACAGCAAGACAGATACTGAGTGACAGAAGGGAACGGAGTAGAGGCAGGCAGGCTGTGCCAGGAAAATGTGGGGGCCCAGGAGATGCGGCGGAATGTCAGGCAGGTGTGTGCTGTCTCCCCCTCCCCACACAGGCCCCGGCAGCTTCCCGAAAGCAGAGACGCTTTCTCCATGGCAAGGGGACTTGTGGCTGAGATGGTAGGTCCAGGCTTAGGCCCGCACCAGTGGGAGCCGTGTAAATGGGTGGATGGCGTCTGGACTGGGCTCTCCTCAGCCTGAGCTGCTCGAGTGGCCAATGGAAACAGAGTCAACCTAAACATTTTCCCTCCTCTGTCCCCCGGGGTGAGAAGAGAAAGATGCCACATCCTCCACTTGTACAAGCCTGGGCGGGCAGGCATAATGGGCATGTGCCCAGGGCAGGTAGAAGGCTGCCGAGGGATGCATCCCCGAGTTCTCTGAAACTGCACCCCAGAACTTGAGGGCTGTACCACAGGAGGTGACACGGGGGTTAACAGATGTGGGTTAACACCTGGCTTTATTGAGAGGAGGTTTAGGGGGCAGAAAGGGCAAGGAGCTGGGAAGGGTGGGGCGGACAGAGTGGCAAGGCAGGCCTGCAGATCTATGGGAACCACCCAGAAGTCAGCTCTGAGGTGACAAGATGGTAAGACTGCCTTTGTCCTGCAGAAAGCTGAGACAATGAGCTCTTCCCTGCAGCCAGGAGCTTCCAACTCCCTGCTCCAGCCCCAAGAGACATGAATATAAGGGAGAGGAAAATGGAATGGACATTAGAGGAGGAAACGAGAACTCTTTTTCTGAGTTCAAAAGTGAGAATTAAAACCATGATTAAGGCTACACAACAATCAGGCTGGAATAAATACCCCACGGACACACATAAGAAACAGACCATAAATGGAGGAATGAGATTTGAGGTGAAATGAAAAGACATGAAAGACACCAGCAAATGCTGCCCCCGCGTCACTGGGATGTGAGGAGGAGAGGCTGTGGGGGGCACAGCACAGAGGTCCCGGGCTGCAGGGGACAGCAGTGCCCAGGGCTTATTAACGGGAGGCGGGGCAGACTGCCCGACCCGGCCTTGGAAGTCTGTGGAAAGGAAGGGAGATCGTTTGTTCGGCAGTGCTGCAAAGACCTGCAAATACTGGGATGACCCCTCGAAGGCCTTTCCAGGAACGAGCGCAGGATTCTGGTTCACAGAGACGGGGCCAGATGTGTGGGAAAAGCCACACAGCTGGACCTGGAAGCAAGGCCCACTTCACCTGGGTAGAAACACTAGTGTTTGTAGCCAAGCAGGACAATTCCTCTTGGGCAGGAAGGGTGGGGAACTGTGAGTCAGGAGCAGGCCTGAGCCTGGTCTGCGGGAGCACAGCAGGTTAATGCGAAGGCAAAGCAGCCTGGCAGCTGAGAGGCCGGGCCGGGCAGCACCATGCAGCCATCACTTCCGAAGGAACTTCTTGTTGAGGAGGAAGATGAGAAGATTGACATTGACTTTGGCTTTGTTAAAGAGCTTCATGACAGCCACGCCCTCATACTGCAGCTGCAAGAGGTCCTAGGAGGGAAGGAACAGGGAGAGGGGTTTATGAGCTTCTGGGAGTGGCCCAGGCAGCCTATGAAACACTTGTGGAGAAGCCTTGGAGCTGCCAGGAGCACCGGCCACTGAAGCAGGGCGTGGAAAAGCCCACCCTGCAAAGGAGGAAAACAGGCCCAGTGGCTGGACCAAACGTCAGGCCGAGGGAGCCGGGACTTGAAAGCGGGTTTCTTGTTCACAAGGCAGACAACAGAGATGGGTACTGAAAATCCCTGCTCTGAATCAGGTTGTGCTGGCACACACCTATAACCCCAGCACCTGGGACAAGGAGGCAAGAGGACAGTGACAAGTCCCTGGCCGGCCTGGGGTCTAGAATAGGACCCTTTCTCCAAAGCAAACAAGAGAAAAAACAATAACTAGGTCAGGACAGACGGCTCAGCAGGGAAGAGCACTGGCTGCTCTTGCTGAGAATCTGGGTTTGATCCCAGCACCCACATCCAGGTGGCTCACACCCATCTGTAATTCTAGTTCCAGGGGATCCAACACCCTCTTCTGGGCTTCCTGGGCATCTGAATGAGTGTGCACTGACTGCTCTTCCAGAGGTCCTGAGTTCAATTCCCAGCACCCACATGGTGGCTCACAACCATCTGTAATGAGATCTGGCACCCTCTTCTGT